CCCCAAAACCCCAAAACCCCCTTAAAAGGTTGATACAATGTCTTGGAGTAATATGAATTATTTAAAGTATATTAAGTTAGAAAACTCTTATTAATATAGCAAATATTTAACAAGTATATAGCTTTATATTAAACAAACATTTATTAAGAAATCAAATTCTATCTAAAATGCCTACCTCATCATCATCTTCATCATCATCTTCATATTTAATTTGGTTATCTAACTCCCTCAAAAACGCATTCTAATCCTCTTCATTCATCTCCTCTCCCTCTAAATTAAGACCTGACTTGTCATATGTTGATTCAAAGTTATTTGTTATGAGACTATTTTCAATTTCATTTACCAAATAATCTAAGCTTTCATGATCATTCTGGTGCTTTTCTAATGAAATTACTCCAAATTACTCTTTTTAATTCAAATTTAGAAGGTCAACTTGCTGATGCTGTCCTGGTGATTTTTTAATACCATCCTATTTTTCTACCTAATTTCTGTGCTAGTTAGAATTTTACTCCCTATATTATGGCGGAGTGATTTTATACTAGCTCTATGAATTAATCTTTGCCTTGTGAGCTATCACTATTAATTCATTTTATTCCTCATAATCGAATGCTTAGAAGTCATCATCGTCCTCCTCCAGCAGTATCTCTCTTTCATAGTCAAAGTCATTATTACCATTTGTCTTATTCTAGTATCCTTCCTTTTTTGAGTAATAGCTTAGTAGCTTTTGCGAACTTGAATGTGCTGTCTCCATCATACTAAGCAGCAGGCTTTATGACTTTTGCAGGCAAGATTAACCCATGTTTAAAAATTTATTATAATTTGCTATTATTTGAATCAAAGCATTATTTAAAAATATTGAAAATTAAGTAGATCTCTGAGATAATATTAGAATTGAGAATTTTATTATTTATTAATTGAGAAGAGAATTAAAAGACTAGACACCTAGATATATTACTTCAAGATACAGCACATAAAAGTTTAAATCAAGCATATTCATCATTGTCCTTCTGCTACTAGCTCAAAGTCTCCTCTTAATTAATTTAAGTTGCTTGTATTTTACTGATCCACTCATTATCAATCAAAGTGTCTTGCGTGAATGAATACTTCTTGAGCCTTCTATCTGTACTATACATCTGATGCACCAATCTTAGTCAATCTTTTAAGTGTATTAGCTGCGTTGTGAACTTTGAAGTTTCTTCTTAAATCATTGGTGAGTGCATCAATTGCAACTTTTTCGTATTTAGCCGTGTCATTTTCCTTGAATAGGACAGTCCTTGTCTTGATGTATTCGTGAACATGCTCTATCTTGTCTAAATTTTAATTTAATAGCTCTTCGCTAAGGTTCTTTAAGGATTGCTCATCACTAGCTCCAAGGGCCTCAAATTCTTAGCTTGCTACTTTCAGAAGTTTCTCATCTGGAATTGCTTGTTTTCTTTATTCCTCTGTCAAGGAGTTCCAGTGTTAACTAAATCTGATTCTTGATGACAAGGTCTTCTCATAGGTTGGATGTCTTTCAGTGAGAGCAATAACTGCTTTTAATGCCTCAAGTAGCTTATCTATAGAATTATTGAATGGATGTAAATTTTACTTTTTCTAAGATAGATTGGAATCATTTTAGCTTAAACTTCTTTAACCTCTGGATTACAAGATGCCACCAATACTGCAAAATCATAAGCTACTTTAATTGGATCTTAAAGCTAAAAATTTCATCATTAACATAAAATCTATTCTTACAGCTTTCTGATAAAGATCGTATCCTTTAGGATCAAAATCGTTCTTGAACTCATCATCTTCGTCTCTTTTCTTAAGTTCTTCACACATTTTAATATATTCAGTTGATGCCTTATATGAATCAAATTCAGGCTAGAATTTCTTTTGTTCTTCTTCTCTGATTTTATCTACTTTTTTCATAGTTTTTATGATACCAATAGCTGCTCTGACTGCATTTTTGTTCTTATAGATGTTGTCTTCCATTTCAAGCATTTAGAAATAGGCATTTAAGGTATATTTTCTCATTGCATAGAGATGAAAGTCTAATTGATCCTCAAATACCTACTCCATATGCTTTTCAATATAGTTGAAGTTCTTTAAAGCTAATCTATAATTTCCTTGTCTAAGATAAGAAAGTCCTACTTCATTTTCATACCACATGCATTACATATCATGAACATTTAATTCTTGTCCTTCTTTGCTGAACTAACCCATTGTTTCTTCTGCTTCTTCAACATGATCTGCTCTAATCAAGTATCTTGATGAAACAGCATTTAGATATCTATCAGCTAAATCTAATTTTCTAGCTTCCTCATAAAGCTTTGAGGCATATTCTCTATCTCCAGCTCTCTTATAGATTTTAGCTTTAACGACATAAAGATCAATCACAGTAGGAGTGTGATTAATAGCTTCATTGATATATTTTAGAGCTTAATTGTAATCTCTTAAATAGTAGTAATGTTGAGCTGTGTAATAAAGAAGCCATAAATAGACGGTAGGATCTTGCTCCTATTCATCATTAAAAAGAGTATTTTTTTCTTCCATAGACTTGAGATGTGAGAGTAATGTTTCTTCTAAGATTTAGGTCTTTTCTTTATCTTAATAAACATCCTTTAGATCTACAATAAGAGGTGGTACACCTTTAATAAGATAGGGCTTGGAGTATTAATATAGTTTCTCTCTAAATAATTCCCCAGTTAAAATCTTTAGCAAAACTCTTTAATGAGAGTTTCCTCTAGGGAATCTATTTTCATAGACCTCAATGATCTCTTTAATTTTCAACTAATCTTCTGAACTATATTTGAATTCTTTATTTGAATAGCCATGGACTGCTAAAATTTGGTAATAATTATTTGTATTTGCAGAGCTTAGTTCAAGTAAGTCCCTAATATTATTATTAGAAATATCATATTTATGCTTACTCTAAATGCTCCAGAGCTTTATCTTTATTTCCTAATTTCTGATAGTTTTCAGCTAGTTTTCTAAATTTACTGATTTGATCAACTATTAGACCCTTCTTTTATAAAAGATTAATAGCTTTCTAATAGTCTCCCATTTCCTCAAATAATTTTGCCTTAAAAAGAGTGATTTCAGTTCTCTCGTGATTCTTTAACTTTTCTTTGTTTTCTTTTAGAGTTTTATCAAAAGATTCTAAAACCTCAAGAGCTCTTTCGCATTTATGGCACTATAAAAAGTCATTTATAAAGCTAATATACTAATGAAAGTGCAACAGCATATGCCATCCAGTTGATATTAACTGTTGGCTTTGAAACTAAAATTTGTCTTCTGGTTTCAGCATAGCCTTCATAATCTCTTAATTGGATTTAGAGCTGACCTAAATCTCTCAATACATTTTGATTGTCTTTATCGTATTTCAAGGCATTTAAGTAAGCCTTTCTTGCTTCATCTGGATTTCTATAATGCAAACAGTAAATAAATGCTCTCTAAATTTTAGAAGTTCTTGAGTCTATCTTTTAGATAGAGTGGTAATTGATGCACTAAAGTTTCACTTACTTATTTGACCTATGCAAAATACCATACACATGCCAGCAGGTAAAGTTAGAAAGATTTTTAAAGAGGGCCTTCTTAATGAACTCAAATGCCTCGATTTTTCTCTTTAAAGAGTTCATATTAAGAGCTTTCATAGCGAGAGTCTCTATAGATATTAAATTCAGCTAATTTTCATACCTGGATGATCTGGATGCTTTTCTAAAATTTAATCTGCATTTCTTAGTGACTACTTGAATTGCTTGTTATCATAGAAGTTCTAAAGTATATAATTTAGGACTTTATTGAAATTACGAGCATCTAAGTGAACAAACTTTTCTCTTTAGATTTAAAGTTGGCTGTTGCTAAGGCAGTGCTTGAACTCATATTTGATGTGAGGATATAATTATTTAATAATAAGTAGAGATTAATGATTTTCTGGTTATCAATTAAATCAGATCAATTTTTAATTCCCTTCATTACAATATTTAAAATAATAAATTCACAATGAACGACAACGATCAAAACAATGACTCTTTCTTAAATCAAAATTAGTAGCTTGACGACACTCAGGTTTATGAATAGTAACAAAATTAAATTAAATTAACATTTCTGAAATCAGACTGGAGCAGAACATCAAAAGAGAGCCACCGAAACTACCAGATGAGTTGTATCTCACAGCTTTAAATGATAATGGAGTTGAGAGATAATAAAATAAGAAAAGTGATCATCATTTCAGTCAAAATTTGTGTAAGTATTACTTAGAAGCTTAGTATTGTTGATAGTTGAAGATAAAGGTGAAGGCAATATATTTTCTCTCTATTCTGAGGAAGAAATAGACAATTTTAAATGCATATTTGATATGTTTGACAAGGAAAAAAGCGGTTTCATTGATGTCGGAGATCTTCAAACCATTATGAGAAGTCTTGGAAGAGATCCTCATGAGGCGATTGAATTGCTTCAAGGATTGGAATTGAGTCAAGAGGGACGCCTCAGCTTTCAGGAATTCTTGAAGATTATGAAGACTCTGGAAAATAGACTTATTTCTGGAAAGGATGAAAATGAATAGTCTCCAAGAGAAGCTGACCTCGAGGAGAGAAATAAATATGGCTCATTATTGCCCAGAACAGGAGTGCACTTTCTACCTGACTCCAAGGTAGTCGATCTACTAAAGTAATCTTTCAATTTAGATCTTAATAAATGCTTTAGAATTTTGAACGATCACAGGAAAAAATGTATAAAGGAAATGAAGTTGGCAGAAGCTATTCGTGCTTAGTTGAAATTCGATGATTTAAAATCTAAGGAAACTTTGAGGCAAATGCAAAATATGAGATAGGCTTAAGAATAAGAATTAATAACTGTTGAGAATGCCTAAAGAGCATAATTTTTAGAGTTTTCCTAGGCTTGGGATAATTATATGTCCGACTATGAAGCAACTGCTTATCTTTCACTAGAAAAATTGAAGGAAAAGCATATACTTGAATTATAGCAACTCTAAGAATAGATTCGCAAAGAATATAAGGTCAAATTGAAATTAACAAAAGAACTCATGGAGAATAGGAAGCAAGTACAGACATTAATATCTTTAAAAAGGTATGAAGAAGCAGAAGCTATGAATAATTAATGTGATTAAAAAGAAGCTGAAGAAAAACAAGCGATGGAGGCTTAGATAAATGAATAGATTCAAAGAGCTGAAGAGAGATTAAGAGCTAAATAGTAGTTGGCTTTGGCAGCATTACTGAAAAGAATTCAAAGAGATAGGAATGAGTAACTCAAACACAGATAAATTGATTCATAGAGACTCATCTAAAGGAATAAAAATTTACTGTTGGATCTTCTGAACAAGCAGAATATGGAAACAAGAAGGACCAATCAATTTTTGAAATTTGCACTAGGAGTCCGTTCTCCAGAAAAGAAAAACTACTTCAAAAGTAAGCTTTTTACAGCTCCTGAAGATGCTAAATTAAAGATTGGCGATGAAAATAGTCGTACCATGTATAACAATATAAACAACAAAACAAATACATCATTTGCAGCAATAAAGAATTAGTCTCTAAACTAAAATAGAGCAAAAACATCCAATGGTAAACATCTATTTTCTTAACTAAATATTAGTTGGTGATCCAAGAAGCATATCCATGGATATTACATAAAACGATACTAATAAATCATATACTAGAGGAGCATAGAGAATAAATGTTAAAAATAGTTCAAACTCAGGGAATTAGTCTATGTTCTTGAATAATAGAAGTTCAATTGGAAATAAAACGAGAGGCAGCGAGGAAATGATATCGAATGGTAATGCTAGAATAGCCAGCTAAAAGGAGGTTAAACTGCCTTAGATAAGATAATGAACATCAAAATATACATAAGTTATGAAATAGTTCAATTGAGACATAAATTAATATAATGTATAGACTTAAGTTGATGATCACTTAAAATTTATCAAATTTATTGCCATATTTAACATGAGGGGGTTTTGGGGTTTTGGGGTTTTGGGGGGAATGCAGTGTTATAAGCTTTATTCCACACA